GTCTGCAAGGACGTTGCCCAGGGGACGCCTGGATGATTTGATGTTTTTATCATCCTTGTGGGAGGCTTCTCTCATGTCCCCGTATGAGGAGCTGGAGCTGATAGAGGGAGCTCATCCGCCTCTCCCCGGATTCGAACCTGCGACCTGTCGGGTCTTCAGTCCTGCCGGCACAGGGCTTTAACCCACTGCGCCACCGGGGGCTCCAGAATAATACTAATAATAAATAGAGTAAAATAATAAATGTAATAAAATAATAATGCAATGTAAATATAATAATAATAATAATTCATATATTAAAATAATTCATGTAATAAAATGATACTAATAACAAAGTAAAATAATAAATAACCTTGACTCGAGTATAAGCTGAGGGGAACTTTTTCAACCTAAAAAGGGGCTTATACTCGAGTATATACAGTAAATATATTCCTTGTTGACCTACAGTGGGTCCCTTTTCCTGGGAGAAAGGTAAACTGGGAATGCAATGAGTAAGGATTTGGCAACATTAATGAGCCTCTTTGGCCCCGATCCAGGAAAGCTTCTTTTGATCCACCAGACAACTTGCCACGTCGATAATCCTACTCAGAAACCAATATTTTCTCACGCTGTCCTTTTGCCGCGCCCTGTTCAATTAAGATCAAATTATTCCCTGCGCCGACCAAAGTTGCACCAAGCAGCACAAATCAGATAGGAACTCCTTTGCAATTCAAATGGCGAGCCGTGTTGTTCTTTTTCTCCTCGCCCGCCGGAGGTAAACAGGTTTGGTAAGAACGAAACTTTAAAAGGAAGGCTACAGATGCTAAGCGTACGCACCGCAGTCGTGTGTGGCTTCGTGGCAAGTTCAACAAGCCCACGGCTGCCAATATTCCAAGGAGATGCAAGGCTGAGACACACTAGAAATGGTTAAAGCATTAGACAACAACAACAACAACCTTAGCAACAAAGAACAGACAAAGCAAGGAGAGGCTGCAGCAGTTTGCTTTGGCCTGAACCTACTAGGAAAAGCAATATTTGTGCCCTGTCTACACTGCCATCTACAGGCCGTCTCCAAGTTACAAACATCTGACTTACTCTTAAGGATGAGACAACAGGAAGTGAAAGAAATTGCCTCTAGAAAGGGAAAATCGAGTTACTATCGAGGGGAAATCTTCTGAACAGAGGCACGGAGAAACAAAGGAAACATTGCAGGGGTGTGGACCCTTCCCTAATTCTATGGAATTATGGAAAAAATAGATCCCTGTCTGATTCCACAGCAAGCTGGCTTCAGGAAAGGCAAAAGCTGCACATCGCAAGTGCTGAACCTGACTCAGCACATCGAAGATGGCTTTGAAAGGCTTTCATAGACCTGTCAGCGGCTTATGATACTGTGAACCACCGCTTCCTCCTGAGAAAAATGTATATATCACAAAGGACGACCATCTCACCCACCTCATAGGAAACCTGCTACAAAACAGGAGCTTTTTGTTGAGTTCCAGGGCCAGAGAAGCAGATGGCGGAAACAGAAGAACGGCCTGCCTCAGGGGAGCGTGCTTGCTCCATCCATGTTCAACATCTACACAAATGACCAACCACTGCCAGAAGGGACAGAGAGTTTCATCTATGCTGATGATCGTGCCATCACCGCTCAAGCAGGGAGCTTTGAGATGGTTGAACAGAAGCTTTCCGAAGCTCTAGGTGCTCTTACTGCCTATTACAGGGAAAACCAGCTGATCCCTAATCCATCTAAAACACAGACATGTGCTTTTCACCTTAAGAACAGACAAGCATCCCGAGCTCTGAGGATGACCTGGGAAGGAATCCCACTGGAGCATTGCAGCACACCCAAATACCTGGGAGTCACTCTGGACCGTGCTCTGACCTACAAGAGGCACTGCCTGAACATCAAGCAAAAAGTGGGTGCTAGAAACAATATCATACGATAGCTGGCACAACCTGGGGATCACAACCAGACACAGTGAAGACATTATTATTATTATTATTATTATTATTATTATTATTATTACTTTATTTGTACCCCGCTAGCATCTCCCGAAGGACTCGATGCGGCTTACATAGGCCAAGGCCTCAAAACACAATACAACAATACAATACCTAAAGCAAATTAAAAACAGTTAAGCAGTATGAACAACAAACAATAAACAATACATCTGCCCTTGTGCTATGCTACTCTGCTGCTGAGTATGCATGCCCAGTGTGGAACACTTCTCACCATACTAAAACAGTGGATGTGGCTCTTAATGAGACATGCCGCATTATCACAGGGTGTCTGCACCCTACACCACTGGAGAAACTACACTGTCTAGCTGGTATTGCACCACCTGACATCCGCCGGGAAGTAGCAGCCAATAGTGAAAGGACCAAGGCAGTGACATCTCCAGCTCATCCCTTGTTTGGGTATCAGCCAGCATGTCAACGACTTAAATCAAGAAATAGTTTTCTAAGATCTACAAAGACACTCGCTGGAACACCTCAGCAAGCGAGAGTCCAAAAGTGGCAGGCTCAAACCCAGCATGATACCAAATGAGAGACTCCCCCCTGGGCACACAGAAGACTGGGTGACTTGGAAGGTACTGAACAGACTGCGCTCTGGCACCACGAGATGCAGAGCCAATCTTAAGAAATGGGGCCACAAAGTGGATTCCACAACATGCGAGTGTGGAAAAGAGCAAACCACTGACTACTTGCTGCAATGCAACCTGAGCCCTGCCACATGCACAAGGGAGGACCTTCTTGCGGCAACACTAGAGGCACTCCAAGTGGCCAGATACTGGTCAAAAGACATTTAATCAACTACCAAGCCTGCAAACTTTGTGTTTTGTCTGTTTGTTTGTTTTGTTAAAAATGTAATACAACTTTCTGGTTGCTCCTGACACGATAAATAAATAAAGACCCTTCCCTATGCAATCCAAAGCTAAGAAATATATATATTTGAGGGTACTTCCACTTTAAAAATGTACCTTTTCCAACTTACTAACAAGTTCAACTAAGAACAGCCCTACAGAGCCCGTCTTAATGTGTTGTCGAAGTCTTTCCCGGCTGGAATCACTGGGTTGCTGTGCATTTTTGGGCTGTATGGCCATGTTCCAGAAGTGTTCTCTCCTAACGTTTCACCCACATCTCAAAAAGTAGGGGGATTCCAAACAAGAATCAATCAGGGCCAGCTAACACCTCCCAAGAAAGGGCCCCCCAGGCAGGAAGCAGCCAGACCTTGAAACTGCAAGGCCATTAAATGCTGATCAAGGTGGCCAGTTGCAACATTTACACGTGCCTCCAACAGACAAAAGCTCTTTCTCCCACCCTGGCCACCATAGGGATCTTGATTGTTGTGTACTAATCCTGTTGTGTATCAAATCAAATAATCTCTCTCTCTCTCTCTCTCGCTATATATATATATATATAGATAGAAATGTAATGTTTGTTTGTTTGTTTGTTTATGGGGGAAACATAACTCAGAAACCGCTGGATGAACTGACACAAAATTTTGACATAATAAACTAATAGTCCAACACGTGTCCATCACCCCTAAAAACACACACAAAAACCCCCAGCGGAACGGACTTAAAACCCCCCAAAATACACCATATAGACATACACACATATACATATACTCATGCACACACACATATATACACACAAGCACACACAAATATACACATACACATACATATACATGCACACATACATATATACAAATATGCATATACACATACACACATATATGCATATACATGAGCACACACATATACACAATATACATATACACATGCACACATACATACACACATATACATGCACACATATATGCATATAGACATACACACATATAATAATAACATATACACGAGCACACACATATTTTTATTTTATTTTATTTCCTATATTTATACCCCGTCCTTCTCCCCCCGAAGGGGGACTCAGGGTGGTCTAACAAAAGCATCATACGATATACACAATATACATATACACATATACACATGCACACATACACACACATATACACATAAGCACACAGAAACATACACATATACACATGCACACATATACATATATGCATACACACAAGCACACATATATACACAATATACATATACACATGCAGACATACATACACGCACACATATATACACATAAGCATGCACAAATATACATATATACATGCATACATACATATATGCATATACACATACACATATATGCATATACACGAGCACACATGTATACAAAATACACACATATACACATAAGCACACAAATATACACATATATATACAAACATATACATGCACAATACATATATGCATATACACATATATGCATGCATATACACGAGCACACACATATATACACAATATACATATACACATGCACACATACACATATATACATAAGCACACACAAATATACATAAACACACATACATGCACACATACATATATGCATATACACACATATATGCATACACACGAGCACACATATATACACAATATACATATACACATGCACACATAGATTCACATAAGCACACACAAATATACACATATATACACGCATACATATATGCATATACACATGCACACATACACATATATGCATATACACGTGCACACATACATATACACACATACATGCATATACACATGTGGTGTGTAAATAAATATAATAAATATGTGATTTAATAATAGATATTATAATAATTTTAATATTAATAATAATTGTATGCTGATGCATAATATACATATAATAATAATAGAGTATAAATATTATAGTAATAATAATAGTACTGAATAGATTCGAGGTCAGGCAATGGGGCCTTCTCGAAAACAGAGCTCATACATACTCCAAGGCCATGGCAATGTGTGGCTGAGGCCTTGGGGGGGGGGGGACCGTCTGGGGGAGAAAGTGGGGCAGGAATAGCATAATAAATACGAATATATGATAATGACAGTCTGCAGGGGGAAGGCGAGGCCATGCAGGTTTCCAAAAGAGAGGGAGGTATTCACCCAGCTTGACGGCGGAGTCAGCCAGGCACCGGTCCCACTTCCTCCCCAAGTCGCCTTCCGACGCCATCTTGCTCCCTCTCCCGCCTGCCACTCAAGCCTTCCGCCCGCCCACGTCTCGCGAGAGCCGCCGCCAGTCCGGCTGGGCCGAAGCTCCTCTCGCGGGACCTCAGAGCGCTCCGCTTCCTCTGCCCCCCCCGTTGCCACGAGCAACCGAGGTAACTCCAGCCAGGCTTGACCTTGCAGGCTAGGCCCGAAAGCAGAAAAGCCACCACTGTGAAATATATTATTAATATTATCATTATGTTTATTTATACTCCGCTTTATTTATCCCGCAAGAGACTGAAAGCAGCTATATCTCCATTATTGGTATCACAATATATAATAATATATATGATTACATATATTATTACATTATCTATTTATTATTATTATTATTATTATTATTATTATTATTATTATTATTATTATTATTATAAAAGCAGCTATATCTCCATTATTGGTATCACAATATATAATAATATATATGATTACATATAATATATTACTACATTATCTATTATTATTATATTGTGATAAATATAATATAATAATAGATAATGCAATAATAATAATAATATATTATTATTATTATAAAAGCAGGTATATATCCATTATTGGTATCACAATATATAATAATATATATTATTACATATATTATATTATTACATTATCTATTATTATTAATTATTATTATTATATTGTGATACCAATAATGGATATATAGCTGCTTTTATAATAATAATAATATATTATTATTATTACATTATCTATTATTATATTATATTTATTATTATTATAATAAAATATTTATTTATATTCCATTTAATTTTCCCCGAAGGAGACTCAAAGCACCTTAACATAAAAGCATTAGCATAACAATTTAAATTAGTATCATTCTATTATTATTCTATTTATTTTTATTATTCTATTATTATGCTATTTATTTATACCCCGCTTTATCTCTCCCAGAGAAGCAACGCTGCCATGTATGTATTATTGGTATTACACTGTATTATTCTTATTATTATAATATTATTATATATATTTATTCTTATTATTATAATTATATCCCGCTTTATCTGTCCTCAAGGAGATTCAAAGCGGCTATGTATCCAGTATTACTATTACAATGTATTATTATATAATACATTATATTATGTATTATTATATTATATATATTTATTCTTATTATATTTATTCTTTTACTATATTTATATCCTGCTTTATCTGTTCTCAAGGAGATTCAAAGCGGCTATGTAACCAGTATTAGTATTACAATGTATTATTATAATAGTATATATTCTGTATTATTATATTATATATATATTCTTATATATATATATATTCTTATTATATTTATTCTTATATTCTTATATTTATATAATAATATTATATTATATAAATATAATATTATTATTATATTTATATTATGTATTATTTTATATATATTTATTATTATTATTATTATTATTATTATTATATTTATATCCTGCTTTATCTCTTCTCAAGGAGATTCAAAGCGGCTATATATCCAGTATTGGTATTACAGTGTATTATTATTATTATATTATATGTTATATTCTGTATTATTATATCATATATATTTATTATTATAATATTTATATTCCGCTTTATCTCTCCTCAAGATTCAGCTATGTATCCAGAAAGCAGCTATGTATCCAGTATTGGTATTACAATGTGTTATTATTATTATATTATATATTATATTCTGTATTATTATATCATATATATTTATTATTATTATATTATATATTATATTCTGTATTATTATATCATATATATTTACTATTATTATATTATATATTATATTCTGTATTATTATATCATATATATTTATTATTATTATATTATATATTATATCTTGTATTATTATATCATATATATTTATTATTATAATATTTATATCCCGCTTTATCTCTTCTCAAGGAGATTCAAAGCGGCAATATATCCAGTATTGATATTACAATGTATTATTATTATTATATAACATTATATTACATATATTTATCACTATTAGATTATTATTATTATCATATTTATATCATATATATTTATTATTATTATATTATATATTATATTCTGTATTTATATTATATTATTCTGTGATATTATATTATTCTGTGATATTATATTATATTATTTATACCCTGCTTTATCTCTCTTGAAAGGGACTCCAAGCAGCTTAATATCAAAGCATTAGTATACAATTGAAAATATACTATTATTATTATTATAATATATTTTTATAATCTTTTATTATTTCCCTTTTTCATTTTGGCATGGGTTAGTCTTGATCCAGAGAGCTCTTTCCCGCCTTGTTTCCCTCCCTCTCCGAATGGTTCCTCCCACCCCTGCCTCTCCCCCCGCTTCTGGTGCCGGAATGGTTCCTCCCGAGCAGGCCTCCCCGCTCCATACTTGGCGATAGCCGGCGAGCCGCCTCCTGATTGGCTGGGTGAGGCGCGGGGGGCGTGGCCTGCGGGGTGGGGGAAGTAGGGCTCTGGCTGGCGCTGTGACCCGGATGTGGAACTCCTAGGCAACGGCGGAAGTGGCCTGAGGAGGAGCAGGAGGCGGCGGACGGCGACGAGGAAGGAGGAGGAGGAGGAGGAGAGTTGCCCCCCGCCCGCCCGCCCGCCCGCCCGGCCTTCCTTCCGCCCGTCCCGCTGCAGCCATGGTAAGCCGGACCCTCCCCGCACTCGAGCCGGGGCGCGCTTCCGGAGCCGGATCCCTAGGCCTTCCTGTCAGTCAGGGCGCCTCCCTTCCCAGAGGAAAAGGCCTTCCTCTCCGCCTTCCTTCCATAGGCCGCACTTCCTTCTTTCCTTCTTTCCATAGGCCTTCCTCTCAGCCTTCTTTCCTTCCTTCTATAGGCCTTCCTGTAAGCTTCCCTTCCTTCCTCCCTTTTGCTAACTTCGGTAGGTCTTCCTCTCAGCCATCCTTCCTTTCCTCCTCCTTTCCTTTATTTCCCCTTCCTTATTTCCTTCCATCCTTTCTCTCTTTCCATCCATCCATAGGCCAGCCTGCCTTCCTTTTTTCCATAGGTCTTCCTGTCAGCCTGCCTCACTTCCTCCCTCTCTTCATCTCTTCCTTCTTTTCTCTATCCCTTCCTTCCACAAGCTGGCCTTCCTTCTTTCCTTCCTTCCTTTCCTTCCTGTCAACCTTCCTTCCTTCCACAGTCCAGCCTTCCTTCTTCAGGCCTTCCTTCCTTCCACAGGTCTTCCTGTCAGCTTGCCTCCCTCCCTTCCTTCCATAGGACTTCCTGTCAACTTCCCTTCCACAGGCTGGCCTTCTTTCCTTCCTCCCATAGGCCTTCCTGTCAACTTTCCTTCCTTCCTTCCACAGGCCGGCCTTCCTTCTTTCCTTCCTTCCTTCTTTAGGTCTTCCTTCCTTCCACAGGTCTTCCTGTCAGCTTTCCTTCCTCCCTCCCTCCCTCCCTCCCATAGGCCTTCCTGTCAACTTCCCGGCCTTCCTTCTTTCCTTCCTGTCAATCTTCCTTCCTTCTTTAGGCCTTCCTGTCAACTTTCCTTTCTTCCACAGACCTTCCTTCCTTCCTTCTTTAGGCCTTCCTTCCTTCCACAGGTCTTCCTGTCAGCCTGCTTACCTCCCTCCCTTCCTTCCATAGGCCTTCCTGCCAACTTTCCTTCCTTCCACAGTCCAGTCTTCCCTCCTTCCTTCCTTCTTTAGGCCTTCCTGTCAATTTTCCTTCGTTCTACAGGCTGGTCTTCTTTCCATAGGCCTTCCTGTCAGCCAGCCTTCCTTCTTTCTTTAGGCCTTCCTTCCTTCCATAGGCCTTCCTGTTAGCCAGCCTGCCTGCCATCCTTCTTTCCTCCCTCCATCTCTTCCTTCATTTCTCCATCCCTTCCTTCCTCCCATAGGCCTTCCTGTCAACTTCCCTTCCTTCCTTCCACAGGCCAGCCTTCCTTCTTTCTTTCCTTTGTTCCTTCCTTCCTTCCATAGGCCTTCCTGTCAGCCTGTCTTCCTTCCTTCCTTCTTTAGGCCTTCCTTCCTTCCACAGGTCTTCCTGTCAGCCTCCCTCCCTTCCTTCCATAGGCCTTCCTGTCAACTTTCCTTCCTTCCACAGGCTGGCCTTCCTTCTTTCCTTCCTTCCTTCCTTCCTTCCTTCCTTCCATAGGCCTTCCTGTCAGCCTGTCTTCCTTCCTTCCTTCTTTAGGCCTTCCTTCCTTCCACAGGTCTTCCTGTCAGCCTCCCTCCCTTCCTTCCATAGGCCTTCCTGTCAACTTTCCTTCCTTCTACAGGCTGGCCTTCCTTCTTTCCTTCTTTCTTTCTTTCTTTCCTTCTTCCTTCATTCCTTCCTTCCATAGGCCTTCCTGTCAGCCTGTCTTCCTTCCTTCCTTCTTTAGGCCTTCCTTCCTTCCACAGGTCTTCCTGTCAGCCTCCCTCCCTTCCTTCCATAGGCCTTCCTGTCAACTTTCCTTCCTTCCACAGGCTGGCCTTCTTTCTTTCCTTCCTTCGTTCCTTTCATAGGCCTTCCTGTCAGCATGTCTTCCTTCCTTCCTTCTTTAGGCCTTCCTTCCTTCCACAGGTCTTCCTGTCAACATCCTTCCTTCCATAGGCCTTCCTGTCAGCCAGCCTTCCTTCCTTCTTTAGGCCTTCCTGTCAGCCTGCCCTTCCTTCTTTCCTTCCTTCCTTCTCTAGGCCACCCTTCCTTCCATAGCCCTTCTTTCTTTCCTCCATTCCTTCTTTCCTTCTACAGGTCTTCCTTCTATAGGTCTTCCTTCCTTCTACAGGTCTTCCTGTCAGCTTTCCTTCCTTCTTTTCTTCCGTAGGCCTTCCTGCCTGTCTGCCTTCCTTCCTTCTTTTCTCCATCCCTTCCCTCCTTCCCTAGGCCTTCCTGTCAACCAACCTTCCTTCCTCCTTTCCTTCTATAGTTCTTCCTGTCAATGTTTCCTCCCCAGCATTTGGGCCTGGATTCTGCTTTTTCGGCGTCACAGAGTTGGAAGGGACTTTCAAGGGCCATCCTGTCCAACTTTCTTCTTTCTGCCAGGCAGGAGAAGCACAACCAAAGCAGTCCTGACAGGTGGCCACCCAGCTTCTGTTTCAGAGCCTCTCCGCCCATCCTTCTCTTCGATTGTCCCTTCCCTTTTCGTTCCTTCTTTCCTCTCTCCCTCTTTCCTCCCTTTCTTCCATCCATCCATCACCATGTAGCAGGGAGTTCTGCAAGCAGTCCCCAAGTTAGAAGGTTTGCCACAGCCTGCACTAAGGAATAGACTATGACATATTCACGTGGAGTATTTCTAATCGGTGTAATCCTCATAGTGTGTTTTTTTTAAAGGGAATATCTAGAGTTTCCAAGGGAAGGGAATGCTTCCAAGGCTGCGTGCCATCTCCTTTTTGTGTATCTTCATGTCTCACGTGCTTAAGGTGAACATGTCAATGTGTTTGTTTTCTTCAGAGGCTGAGAGAGTGAGGCCTTTCCATGGCTGAGAGGGGATTGGGATCGTGGTCTGTTTGGGCTCTAGTCATACACCCAGACCGTAATATACCTGTTCGGTGCCCTTTAGTTTGCAAATATGTGCATGGGTAGAGCATGGCATTTCCTTGGGTGTTTGGATTATTGGATGTTTCATGGCCTGGACATGAGAGAAACAGAGGACTATCAATAATAACAACAACAACAGATGCTTCCAGGTTCCTCTCTGAGTGGAAGTTTGTTTTGGCTGTAGGAAATTGGAACACATTGCTCTTGTGGGGAGGTAAAATGCCTTTCACCATCTCATATCTCTCTGGGTGTATGTAGGCAGGAGGCACAATACATGGGTGTGTCCCCTTGAGTCACAAAGGTAGGCCCCTTCTGCCATGACGGTTGCATTGTGGTTTGGGACCTGCCGTGCCAGCAACATAACGATGGGAAGCCCCTGTGTTGTGGGCCACATCCAGCAAAGTTTGTGTGACTTTTTGGAGCGAAACAGGAAGTTTAGCTCCACCTTGGGAGAAATGGACCAGCTTCCCCACACCCACTAATGACTCACAGGGCAACCCCTGTGGCAACCATCTTTCACCCAGAATTAATGACTTCTTCCCACAGGCAGGTGCCCGGATTGGTGTGGCTTACCCTGCTTCTTCTTCCGCTGTTTAAGGTGCGCACTCAGGTTGAGCCAGAAAGGTGATCTGTTCTGTTTGACACAATGCTGTCCATTGTGTCAAACAGAGAGGGAACAGAGGCACATCTAATCACCTCTCAATAAAAGATTGCCCCAGGCACTGCCAGGCCATCAAATGCTAATCAAGGTGGTCAGTTGAAACATCCACACCTAGCTCCAACAGACAAGAGTTCCTTGTCCCACCCTGGTCCACAGATATATAAACCCACTTTCCTAGTTCCAATAGATCTCACTACCTCTGAGGATGCTTGCTATAGATGCAGGCGAAACGCCAGGAGAAAATGCCTCTAGAACATGGCCATGTAGCCCAAAAAAACCTACAACAACCCAATGCTGTCCATTCTTTGCTGAGACTGTTAAATGGGAGATGAAAGGGATGGGGTTTGGATAGATCAGCACACATTATTTAGCCCAGTTGTTCTCAACCTTCCTAGTGGCGTGACCCCTGAATACAGTTCCTCATGTTGTGGTGGCCCTCAACCATAAAATTATTTTTGTTGCTACTTCATAACTGTAATTTTGCTACTGTTATAAATCGTAATGTTTATATCTGATATGCAGGATGTATTTTCTGTCCCTGGACCAAATTTGGCACAAATACCCGATACTCCCAAATTTGAATACTTTGGGGGGAGGGGGGGGGTATTGATTTTGTCATTAGACCCTGACATTTGGGAGTTGTAGTTGCTGGGATTTCACCTACAATCAAACAGCATTCTGAACTCCACAAACGATAGAGTTGAACCAAACTTGGCACACAGAGCTCCTATGACCAAGAGAAAATACTGGAAGGGTTTGGTGAACATTGACCTTGAGTTTTGGAGTTGTAGTTCACATACATCCAAAGAACACTGTGGACTGAAACAGTGATGGATCTGGACCAAACTTGGCATGAATACTCAATAATGTGAACACTGGTGGAGTTTGGGGGAAAGAGATTTGGGAGTTGTAGTTCCTGGGATTTATAGTTCACCTCCAATCAAAGAGCATTCTGAACCCCACCAATGGTAAAATTGGGCCAAACTTGGCAAACAGAACCACCATGACCAACAAAAAATACTGTGTTTTCTGATGGTCTTTGGTGACCCCTCTGACACTCCCTCACGACCTTCCCAGGGGTCCTGGCCCCTAGGTTAGCCACTTACTAAAGCCTTTCTGGCAATTGTGACTAGAATAATGGTTGAAATATGTGTGTGTGTGCCTTTAAGTGGCCTAACAACTTAAAAGCAGCACAATGAGTTTCAAGGGCTATTCCCAGGTAAGGCTTCCTCAGAGCAGAGTTTCCTAACCTGGAGGGTCGGGACCCCTGAGGGGGTCACGAGGGGGTTTCGGAGGGGTTGCCAAAGACCATAAAAAACATAGATTTCTGAGGGTATTAGGAACCCCGAAGATCTCTATGCCTGTCCTTCTCTTCCTTTGTGAAACGGACCGCAAATCCTCCCACTAAGAGCACTCTTCCTGCTGTGATTGACCAGCCTTTCAGCCAAGGGGAAGGCTGTTTCTGAGACTTCAAGCAGGGAGGGGAGAGCAGGCATGCTCTGCGCATGGCAGCGTG